TGTCCCAAGTCAACCTATTTAAACGTAGTGACATGTAAAGGAATATGAAAAAACTAAAACGTTGAATTTAAATTGTAATGTCATCGCAGTACTGTCTAATTTTGCTTTCTTCGCTGTCGAAACGAAGACTAAAGCGTGAATGACGCTCTGTATACGATTTTAACGCCCTATAAGTTCGGACACTTTTTAGCGCGTACCCGACGTCCTTATAATTGTAAGTCAATGATTAGGATTAATGTAGACACTGCAGCTTCACCTTTATTTAATACTTGTCACCTACAAGCCTTCAATAGAAGCCAAGGTGGCTAGTTGGTGTTTATCAGAACCATCCCATAAAAACAAAGCAAAAAGTAAGGACGTATTATTTAACATTTGAGTCTGCTATACTGAAATATTATTTAATATATTTTCACGATAATATTATAATAGAATACTTTTAAATAATGAAAATTGCCACCGAAGTTAATATTGAAAATTACCCACTAATGAGTGTGCAATTTGCTTATCTATAAATAAATACCGTTTGGAAGGGAACTTTGATAATAAATTTGTGCTAAAGTGATGTAACCTGTTCATTATTTAAAACTCAACCAAATGTAAAAGAGATGTAATCTACATTTTTAACCGACTTCAAAAAAGGAGGAGGTTCTCAATTCGACTGTATGTTCTTTTTTGTTGTTTTATTGAAGTACTGCCATTTTACCTATTTCTACTGCCAAGCAGTAGTGTGTGCATTACTGCGTTCCGGTTTCAAAGGGGAAGGGAGTGAATTACAGGCACATGAGACTTGTCAACTTGTCTCAGGGTGACAGGGCGCAGTGGAAGTGCCCCTCAGATCTTTGTAATTTAACGCTCTTATAGACAGGCGTGTAGCTTCCTATCAGGCGCACGACTTGCTCGTTCCGCCACTTGATATTATTAAAAAATATAAATATACATATGTGGCAACACCATTAGAGTCTGCCACTCGTGATCACTTACTTTAGTGGGCTCAACCAAAGTGACTTTGAAGTTTTTCAACAAATTTTGCAATTCCTCACTGATGGCTGCAGTGCCGTTGAAACTCTGAAGACGTCTGAACGCGTAGGCGGGAATGCCTTCCACTATTATATAAAGCTGAAATCAAAGATAGATTTAGCACATCACTTTTAATGGATATGAAACAATTTTTAACAGGATAAATTATTTGATCCTCGACATTGACTTACAAATAAATGCACGACGGGTCTAATACAAAAACCACGAAAAAATGTCCCAAGTCAATCTATTTAAACGTAGTGACATGTAAAGGAATATGAAAAAGCTAAAACGTTGAATTTAAATTGTAATGTCATCGCCGTACTGTCTAATTTTGCTTGCTTCGCTGTCAGTCGAACAAACGAAGACTAAAACGTGAACGACGCTCTGTATACGATTTTAACGCCCTATAAGTTCGGACAATTTTTAGCGCGGACCCGACGTCCATATAATTGTAAGTCAATGATCCTCGAAGATATATTTGATCTATTGTAAGTGCAGCCGCTGCAACAATTAATGAACGACGTTATACGCGTCGGGAGGCCTTCATTGGTCCTGAGCCCTTTATAGAAATAGCACACAGCCTGGCAAAGCTCACTTTGCTGAACGAGAGCTCCCACGACTCCCGAGACGTGTGGCTGCAGATTAATGGTCTTGAGCATTCTAAAGCCCTGTTAGCTGCCTTCAGTGCCAAACACAGTAGAGAAGCTCTGTCACTGAACAGGAATGGCATCAGAATGCTGACTAGAGCCTTAACAGGACATTGTAGTTTGAATAAGCACATGTCAAATATTGGACCTAGAGAAAACAGAGAATGTAAATTCTGCCACGAGGCGGTTGAAACTCCTGTGCATCTCTACACCCAGTGCTGCCCTCTGCTGGGCGTGAGAAGTTCCATACTGGGTAGGCACAGGCCACACCCAGAGGACATAAAAACTGTCGGAGCCAGGAAAGTCCTTCAGTTCCTTAATGCTGTTGGTCTTGGCTCCGAGCTGTGATTAGTGGTGATCACAATAGATCATTTATGGTCGCAGTGATGAGGGGCCTCATAGGCTCCAAATGGAGCCACCCTAATAATAATAATAATAATATACGCAGCTGCTCAAAAGGGCTTTTATTCGGAGATGTAGAGCCTACATCAGAGTCGGTGTCCGTTTGAACATTTGCTATAAATTAATAGTAAATAAAGTTGCATTTATACCTAATATTGTTTTTATTATTAAACCTCAATGGTCAAGCACAATTCAAAATAAAGAATGGTTCATTAAATTTTTATTGAATTGATATTCAATTATTTTTTGTGAAATTACTCCACTAGTTTGGAATACTTAGAAAGAAATTCTTCGATCTGGCCGGATTCAAACCGACGTCTTTTAGCAAACCGCGCCAGACGCTATGCCAACTGAGCATAGCGTCTTAGTTGGTTTTCAACGACTTTTTAGCCGTAGCGCCATCTATGAGAAATCTACGAAAGTATATCGTCACCCAGTTTGGTAACTTTACAGCTACCAGCCCTGGCTAGAGATGTCGCTATTAATTGTAATTAATATTATTTTCTGAACGTAGACAAATATGCGCTAGTCCTAAACAAAATAAAAGAACAGCCGGCACTATTCTTAAAAATCGATGCAATAAGCGCCATCTAATTGACTTGTTTGTTATTGTAGCAGACCCCGGTACCAGCCTGTACCAGGCGTCGCAGCTCCTGCGCTGGCGCGCACGCAGCGAGCGCTGTCGATCTCAAGATGACATTCCAAGTACCCACGTACTGGCTGTTCTAAGCTTCCCGCGCTTTTCGCTACCACGTAATCTCATTTCCGAATTCCTCGTGCTTAACTTTCACCTCTTCTTTGTTTCGCTTCTTATACTTCTATAAACTGTTTATCTTCAATTTTCAACCTTCTTGTGCGTAACTGTACTTCATTTCGTTATGTATTTTCATACTCCGCATCATCTGCTAGCTTATAAAGCCGCTTGCCTGCTCTGCCTGAACCAGCGCTTAGCCACTACGTCCTGGGTTCGATTCCCGGCCGTACTACCGCACTTGTTGGGTTACACCAGTATTCCCCATTACCATTAGAAATTGGAGTAGATTAGATAAATTGCAGATTATTCATGGGGGGTCCCCATGGCCACATCAGCATCAATTGTAAGCATTGTAGTGTATGCCATCAATATGATAAGAAGAAATGTTGCGAGGTACTTACAGCGGCGTTGAAAGGTCTTTCTCCGCCAGTAGAGAATTCCACCATTATTAGTTCTGGTAATCCACTCCCGCCGCCCACCGTAAGAAGCTGGAAAGCTGGACCCTTAAAGTATAACAGCATTCAATTAAATATAGCTGAAAAACTTCACCTGCTTAAAATAGGCGATTTTATTTTAATGAAGTATTATAGTCTGTTCAAATCCATTTTGAACGAAATGTAAACAAAATGGTTTGGTTGAATTTCTAAAGTAATCACTCAATAAATGGAATAAGTAACACTTTCACGTCCATTTCGAAGATTTGACTTGATATCTCATCGCTTTTGCCAAGAATATTAATTTGAATAACATCGTAAAATCGTATTTGAAAAATGGTAGTGTAAAAAGTGAGATTTTTTTATTAAAGATGTAATGGACAGTCTATGGTTACATAGGGCTGTACGGAAAAAAACATTCAGTTCATTCAATTAAAGTTTTTGTAAAGTTAAGATTTCGGAAGTTTAAATGTGTTTTTATAGATTATGTAATGAAAATCGATAGTTAAAGAAATCGATTCATGAAATAATTGATTCGTAGTTGGCAGTCAAATTGGCCATCACTAAACCGTCTATGGTCGGGTCTGTGACTTGTTTGTTTACTTTTTGTTTAAAATGGATTGAAACGAAGTACAGCTACTTATTTATAACAGTTCAGAGCGAGGGCTGCCCTTAAATAACTGCCTCCGTGACCGAACGGTTACTATGCCGGACTGCCACGCAAAGGACCCAGGTTCGATTCCTGGCCCGGAAGAAATATTTCTATGGCCTACATTTATTTCTCTCGTGAGTTTGGGTGTAATTTGTGGTTGTCTATGATGTGTGTCCATGGCACCCGCGACACAGGGCTTCCTTAATGCGGGGCTATGTTGAGTGTGTGCGTTATTATTATTATATTATTACTAACGGGTAGCTATGACTACTAGTTCTGTAATGCACAACGAGAAGTGTGCGTACCAACAGTCCCGGTACCTATCTGGAATTGTCAGAAAGGTACCAGAGTTGTATCAGAGTTGTTCAGTACGTACACACGAGGTCGTTTACCCAAGACCTTTTGAGCACCGGATGAAGTCTCTGTCAACGGGCTCTAGGGTCAGGACTTGACTGATAAGGTCCCGGTGCAGGCTTGCTTGCGCAGGTTATAGTGCCCTTCTCGGATACCCTAACCGCTCACGCGATGCGCTCATCCTACCGCAAAATGGCGGCTATTTGGTTTCGCAAATTAGAAAAGTATTCAGTTTAAATAGATGTTTTTAAAAATAAAAATTGTTATTCTGCATTGCTAAATAAATACCCTCCGTACTACAATAAAAACATCTCAAATAAAATGCAGTAATACACCGCAAATCCTGCACTTAAAAAGCACTAATGAAATTTTTGGTGTACTTGGGTAAATATGATAATATTCCGTTTGAGTGGTTCTAATGTTTACCATGAAATTACTCCTTAAAATATAGTTTATAAATATTTATATTCAGGGTAAACTTAAAAAACGCAACTTACGGTATGTTTTCAATAAATAAACACCGAAATCACCAGCCCAAACAATAACACACACGATTGTAGTGACGTATTTTTGAAGTTGTTTATTTTTTTAAGTGACAGACCCAGGCATTAAAAACTTTATGGTTTGCTAGAGTAGTTACCGAAATAGCAATTAGTATTAGTTCTTTTACCTGTTATAACTTCGATATCCGATAAATCGGCATAAAATCATCACCGGCACCTCTAGGTATGCTTCCAGAGACGCATGAATCGCGTGAGCGATTAAGAGCGTTTTCACCCTATATCCGATTCGTATAAATTCCGAATCCGAGAAATGGCGTCCGAAATATCACAGGGATCATTTTATCTTTTTTTTTTAAATATTAAGCGACTGGACGAACAAGTCTTCTGGCTTGTCCATAACAGTTGCACTCAGAGCTACGCCTGTCACCCAGAGACATAAGTTGACAAGTCCCATGTGCCTGTAATTTCACAAGCACCCTTACCGTTCAAAACCGGAACGCAGTAATGCTCACATTACTGCTTGGCGGCAGAAATAGGTAAGGTGGCAGTACTTCTCTGAACGAAATTTTTCACAAACAGTTCTACTGCTAATAAATGTCTTTAGGTGTACAAGCGATATTCATATGTTCTTGCATTTGAATAGGACTTGGTGGAGCGACATCCGAATTCGGTCCGCGTTTTTTAGATTTCATCAATCAAATGCAAGGCACAAACACGCTAAGGGTCGGTAGAGAAGGTCACTATAAACTATAAGTAATTTCAAGTTTTTTAAAACTAAGTTTACGTTTAAAAAACATTTGAGGGAATTTATATTCGATAGGCAAAAACTGGGTATTCCTAAACGCTTTACATAGCGGAGGCTTCTAGAATGAAGTCCCCTTGCTTCTTGGACATTTATTATCATCATTTTATGCACATAATTCTCACGTGATACTAACATATGCACGCTACATTCACCTCACAATGTTTTTGTTGTTGATGCACCGCAACGCGCTACCCTCGAAGGTGGTGGCTGAAAATCAGTGCCTTGCTCGTGAGCAAATTTTGCACTGAGCCACGACCTATTTGGCTTGCTTTAGCACACACACACAGCTGTTGATAATTAGGTTAGTATTATGTTTTTATGCTTTTTTTTCGTTTTAATTTTGATTTCTGTGTGTCTCTTAATCAATTTACTCTATTATATTGTTGTGTGTGTGATGCAAGACAATAAACGTTTTATCTATCTATCTATCTATCTATCTATCTAAAGTAGAGAGACATGAGTGTGTCCTAAGAAGATACTATTATATCGGATACATTTCGAGGAGTGAGCGCAGGAATTTCTCATTTAGTTCCACCCTCACCGTTCCTCCTTGGGTCGACTAGAAGGTCCGGAACACTCCAGCCTTATGTCGTTGATTTACCACCTATTCGCACTAAGCGCTTTGCTTCCTCCGTTCTGATGCGTACGGCAAAGGACTGCTCTGTGTTTCCCGAAAAGTACAATTTGGGACTATTCAAGGCTAGAGTGAATAGGCATTTTTTAGGCAGATACGTCCCATTGTCGCTTAACATCAGGTCAGATTGTGGCCAAGCACGTGACTATTATATATTTAAAAAAACTACTTAAAATCTTAAACTTTACCTGTACGTCCAAAGTCGGTTCCTGACTGATGATGTAGTTATTTGTTGCCCAGAATTGTAATCCTGGGTTTCTTAGTTGATTGGTTACAAATGGTATATAGTGAGAACTAAAAGAACAGATAAATAATACAACAATAATAATAATAATAAATCAAATTAAAACTTATTCACATTCAATGCAATTACATCGACCCCTCCTACGTAAAGTATCGTATGTCGAAATTGCCAAGTTTACAGAGAAGCATTTTAAAGTTCTCCGTTTTATTCGGCAAAGCTTGTTACTCAAATAGAGTGATCATCTAATACATCATCTAGCCGATATCTAGGATTTTATAATACTCTATGTGAGTAACGAGCTTTGTCGAATAAAACTGAGAAATGCTAAAGTCACGTGTTGTGCTTATTTCAGTGAATTCAGAATTTTTAAAAGGCTCCTTTGTAAACTTGGCAATTTCGACATACGATACTTTACGTCGGAGGGGTCGACATATACATTCAACGCTTTTGGAGTTACAAAATATTGTCTCTGCCTTTGAGCATTGAAAAAGAAAGAAAACAATTCTTTTTAACCGACTTCCAAAAAGGAGGAGGTTTTCAATTCGACTGTATGTTTGACTGAACTGAAAAAGTTTCATTTACCATTTTTCAAAAAAAAGATGGCCTATTTTTACTTATATAAAATATCAAATATGACGCTACTCAAACGCTCTACTGCCTCCTGATTGGTTAAAATATAAGCGGTGCTTGGCCAATCACGGACTCTTCAGTTTTTTGTTTTCCATCGTTTGCTATCTAGACAGAAGAACAACCTTTGCTATCTACACAATGGTGATTGTTTGTCAAATATATCAAATACAGGTAGCCATGTGAAATGCCACATCGAGTATATAACCAGAAATAGAGACGAAATGCATTTAATTTGTTTGAAAACTATTCTGCCAAATCATTACAGTGCCAACTGCGCTCCAATTGGCCAGCTCGAATTCGAAGCAATTCATGGGTGTCGTCAATTGTTTCACTTCAAATCTACCAGTTTAACTTGAGTTTTGCTGTAATGAACGAAAATTAAAAAATTACATATTTAATATTTAATTACCGATGAAGCCGTTTGTTTAGTAATGTAGTAATTAGATGTTTTGCTGTGTTTCCCACATCACCGAATGGAACAGTCCCCCTTAATTAGTGATAATTATCTTTTCTACAATAAATTCAGAATATTTCCGGAATATAGGGCGACGTACAAACAGGTCAGTTGTTGACTATTTCAGCTTTCTCATTTTGTTTGGTACGGTTGCACTCAACGGGTAATATTAAGTCTGTTCATTTTATAAAGTACTGCGTTACATTTGTGTAAATAGTTTAAAGTTTATTTGTTGTGTATATGTATCTCGTTTTATTCCAATAAGGATCAAACATGTATTCAGTTGAAGTAATGAGTAAAATAGAGAATATGCCTGTTTGATCCGACTCGCGCGCAGATGAGATCATACTCAGCTAAGGCGACTACTTACACACCTGAAGCGGAGGATAAGGTAGTATAAGTAGGTCGCCCGGTACAAATCGCCTGCGAGCGCACAACTTAGGCCGTTATTTACCACTTATGTAAGTTTTAAGACATTATGTAAAAGTTAGCAGTAAGTAATGTATAATAGGAAAGCATTTGTAATAAATTAATATGTGAAACATGAATAAATGGTACGAAGGGGTGGGGTAACTTTTGACGGGAAAAGGAAGGCTCGCCCACCTATAAAAGGCGCACTGGCGCCAATAGATACACAGTCCAAAAACAGCTTAAGCTCGAAACGAAGAAGAGACAAAACCAGCCTCCAGATGTTCATAGTATATAACCGGCAGTTTTATTGAAACCAGTCATAGGTGCCTCCCATACAAATTTGTGATTTCAGCGCAAACGAGAATTGATTTAAAAATGATATAAGGCCCATTTGCCTGGTCAGTTGCCAGGGATGAATGGCCCTTATTTCGTCTCTATTTCTGGTTATATACGTACTCGATGGAAGTGTCACCATAATATTATACTATGGTAATAGTCTAGGTGTTTTCAATAGCCTAGATACTTACGCAATCTTATATCGATAATAAAACCGATTTTTTTCCAGACTCTTAACAGTGGAGTACCAAAACTTTTTCAACTGATTGTTGTTGCAATTCTTTACATAATCGTGTATATTCAGGAAGTCCCTCGACGTGTGTGAGGAGCTTAAGAATGCATGTAAAGCGATGATTCGGAGTTGTATATGTTCTGTTGAGTTTGTTATTATCGGCAACGCGTTTGATAGGCTCTGAAAAAAAAAGAATGTAATAACTTTGTATTATTGAGATTTTTTATCAAATAACTCCACTAGTTTGTGTAATAAAGATCGAATACATAGAAAAAAACGACGACGGCGACGAATGCCAGTACTTATAAGCACCCGGTTACACGAGGCGAAAGTTTGCGCGCCGCCGCCGTGACCGCCCAGTTACTACGCCTTCGTGTCCGTTAATGGCGAATCTGAATTATATTTACTAGGCAACAGCATTTAAATTCCTCTGAATAATATAACCGTGCGCCCGCTGCGTAGATCAAATTCAAGTCAGCCTCGCCCACGTGCCCGGGACGCTTATTTAAGTTAAAACGTAAAAGTTAAATAAATAGAGCGAATTTTGCCATGACTCCACTCGTGTCGAATGCGCCCTTAAAGGTCTATATAGAATTTCTACAACTCGGTAATTTGACCTATGGCTCAGATGGTAAGAGCAATGCTACGGTGCAGCGTGGTCGCGGGTTTAAGTCCCACCGGGTCGAAGAAATTTTTCTATGATTTCGATCTTTGTATTAAATAATCATGTTATAACTTTGTTTAATATATTATCAATGTTACAATAGGTACCCTACGTACCACTATACAGGGTTGTTTGTAAAATGCTAACAACCTACATTACCAACATCATAAACAACAAACTTTTGTTCTATTATTTTTTTACAAAACATAATTCAGTTTTTAACAGGTAGAGCTCCTTGTAGAAGAGTTCGTCCAGGGTAGTACTGCCACCTTACCTGTTTTTTCGCCAAGCAGTAATGACAGCATTACTGTGTTCCGATTCTGAAGAGTAGCGGTGCTGGCAAAGTTACAGGCACATGGGACTTATCAACTTATGTCTCAGGGTGCAGTGACAATGCCCCTTTGATCTTTGTGATTTAAGCCTCTAAGTGACACTGCAACTACTATAGGCAAACGCATTTGCCTATTCGTAATAGTTGCAGTACCATTCAGAGGCAAATCCACAATCACCATGAGACGTAAAGTAAACAAGTCCCATGTGCCAGTAGCTTCACCAACATTTTTATCCTTCAAGTCCGGAACGCAGTAATGTGAGCATTATCAGTACCCGTACTTCCCTTGACGAACTCTTTCACAAGGAGAGCTACTGCTACTAAATTATATGTACATATGTCACAACGAGTGTAATTTTTATGTATATGTATATATATGTAGCTACGTTTGTTTCTTTGGCTTGTCATGTAAGCCTAGTTGTTATTCTCTTCCCTGTGCTGTAGATATTTTTTGTTTTTAGAAGGTAACTTTCATAATAAAAATGTAATGTGGTTGGAACATACGGTCTCCTTCCAAATGCCAAGAGCAGCGAGCGCAGTCCACAACCGTTCATGCGGCTCTTTGTGCGTATCTGTGTGTATCTCGGTGAGATAGTGCGCTACGCTCTGGCCTATGTTCGTTAGACCTTGAAGCCAGACTAGACGATCAAGGTATTGCGGGAAATCTGGAATAATAGACAACACTGCATTCACTAAAATTCCATGGGTACATCTAAGATTCCGATTAAAATTTTTGAAGTGACCAGTGATTGGCAGTGGGTTAAAACCCAATCAACCCGCTCGGGCTTTAATGGGCCCAAAGTGCTGAGTTTTAATCCATTTGTTCCCAAAATCGTAGGAGAAAACGGTAATAAAACGGCTATTTTCTCCTGATATGACATATCAGGAGAACTACATGTAGTATAGTATGTTTGGTAATAGGACAATCATAGGCAAAAGGAGACAGGAGCTCAAACCATGTTAGACCTGTGCTGTGAGTCTCCTGACCTCCAACACTACATTACATTACAAATACTAATTTTCAATTGATGATCCATGACATAGGGATGAGAAAAATAAAACAGAAGGAGGAAACTATTGGTGTAATTCCATACTTATTACAAATTTCGATGTAATAAATCTTTTTTACTGTGGGGGAACGCCGTAGATGTAGGTAGGGTTTTTATAATACAAAAAAAAATGCATTCGCGCAATTTGTGGCGCTAAAGCAGATGACACATGCAAGCCCCTATTTAAAAAACTAAACATCTTACCTCTCCCCTGTATGTATATCAGAGACATCTGTGTGTTTGTTAAGACTAATCCTAAACATTTTAAAATACGTGGCGAATATTTTTTGAAATATTTCGCCACGTATTATATATAGTATAGAAAAACACGTCCTAAAATTATGAATCAATTATATCAACCTCGTTGCCATAAAATAATTTATACAAATAACTGCTCCAACATGTGAATTAAGATTTTTAATAATTTACCAATTGACATTAAATTACTACACGGACATAATTTTAAACTACAATTGACAAGATGGCTTATGACACATTGCTTCTATAGTAACAAGGAATACTTTGAATTTAGAAATATTTGACATTTTAATTAACTTCAATTACCTGTACCAATAAATTCCAATACATTTGCACACCTGCTTGCAGGTTGAATACATTGTACCAATTTAATTTAAGACCTGTATATTTACTGTATTCTGGCAAATAAACATTAATCTAAACTTTAGACGAAAAATGGGCACACAATACCTACCGTGCAATCCTGTGGAATTTCACTTACTACTAGGGATGAACATTACGACTCGATTTTTATGAAAAACGATTCAAGTGTATATGATAACGAGTTTTTGTATATAGATTCATTTCAAAGCGACTTTCAAGCGAAGCGATTCAATAGAGAGGCAAAATATGTAAGCAAGCAATAAACATTTTGTAATAATAATTTACAAAAATTTTGTTGTGAACAATTTTTGCCCTCGATTAAAACCCAGCGATAAATAAGCGCTGGGTTAAAACACGGACGCTTGCCTGTCTCTATATCATTTAAAATAAAAAATACCTACTCAATCTACCCTTGAGTAGGCCAAAATTGTAGTTTTATGGAATTGCAGTAGACTCAATTTACATCACCACGGAAGGCAATGGAAGTGAACGAAATCAAACATAGCATAATTAACTTTATATCAATATATAACTTACAAACTAGATACGATACGTTAGCTGCGGGAAACTCGTATCTAATTTGTACGTTACACAATAACACATAAGGTTTATTATGATATACGGAAATTGCAATGTAAATTAAGAGTATATAACCTCAAATGGCTTTAGTTGATTCTGCATAACAGTGAAAGCGTTGAATCAATCTCTTTGAAAAAAATATATAGTAAAATTGTGAATATACTCTGATTACTATATGATGTAAAAACACGATAGAAAAAGGACACAAACTTTCCTCTTTGATGGACTTCTTTTATATCAACTGAACTAAATAGAACACTTGTAATATAGATATTCATTTTTGAAACAGCTTTTATTTCGTTTGTAAAAAAAAAAAATCTGATATAAAGACAGTATCTCTGCAGTAGAACCGATTAGCACGGGGGAACAATTGAATTCGTGTTGCGGTAGTACCGACTCGTAAGCCTTGAAAATAATAATAAACAGATAGCGTCCATTTTCATAAACAAAAGAGCAAATCAACTTACAATTGTACATTCTCAGGTATTTATCGTAAATGTCATCGAAGTACTGTTGATCGAAGGAGGCGTCCATTGCTTTGCCGACCATAGTTGCGAAGCTCAAAATGCCTGCGTGCCGGATCTCTTGTGGAAAATCTACGCCTAGAAAGCATTTTCACAACACAATGTTAACAATATTGAGGCACGTTATGAGGAAGAATAAGTATTCAGAGAGTTTTTTCAGAAATCCGAAACCATAGAAGATACAAGGAAACTGTCTTAAGAACCATTTAGTCTTTTTGTGAAAACAATAGTGGCATGGATCATCGTCATAATTTTTTTTGGTCAAGGGTTTGGTGCTCAGCAACTCAGTTTCATGGAGAGATCATTTCATTGTATAGGACGAAAAATCGAGACAGCAGGAGTTGGAAAATGAATAAAATTGACTCATTTTTTTTAGTGCTAATAGATTAAATTTTTTACAAGGATTACTTAGTTATATCGGAAGAACAAAATTGGGACAGCAGAAATTGGTTCAATGCAAGAACAGTCGTACATGGTAACCTAATGGTTAAGATCTACTGCCTCTCAAGCAGAAGCCGTGGGTTTAAATCTGGGTTCTATTTTTTATGATTATCGAGTGACGGTGTAAGCAAATGCATATGGTAAGGGACACGCGTTCCCAAAATAGGTGCGTTGCAACTCAGAGCTTTAACCGCTCACGCGACACATGCAGCCGTAGACGCATACCACACCTAGAGGTGCCGGTGATGATTTTATATCGATTTATCGGATATCGAAGTTATAACAGGTAAAAGAACTAATATTAATTGCTATTTCGGTAACGACTCTAGTAAACCATAAAGTTTTTAATGCCTGGGTCAGTCATTTAAAAAATAAACAAGTTCAAAAATACGTCACGACAATCGTGTGTGTTATTGTTTGGGCTGGTGATTTCGGTGTTTATTTATTGAAACCTTCCCGTAAGTAACGTTTTTTAAGTTTACCCTGAATATAAATGTTTATAAACTATACTTTAAGGAGTAATTTCATGGTAAACGTTAGAACCACTCAAACGGAATATTATCATATTTATCCAAGTACACCAAAAATTTCATTAGTGCTTTTTAAGTGCAGGATTTGCGGTGTATTAATGCATTTTATTTAAGATATTTTTGTTGGTAGTACGGAGGGTATTTATTTAGCAATGCAGAATAATTTTTATTTATAAAAACTTGTATTTAAACTGAATGCTTTTCTAATTTGCGAAACCAAATAGCCGCCATTTTGCGGTAGGAGGAGCGCATAGCGTGAGCGGTTAATTGCCAAGATCTGAAGGACACTGCCACTGCGCCCGGCTACCTGAGACATTCTCATATGCAGTATTTTCTCAGCAACCTTATCCCTTAAAACGTTACAATTAGGTATGGTAGCACTGCTTCCTTGAACAAGCTCTTTCACAAGGAGCTCTACTGCTGGAACAGGAAATTCTCTAATTTAAGATACATGAAAAGACTTACCAAGCTTAGTAAAGACTTCCAATTCTTCCAGCAGAGGACGATTATAGTCAACGAGATTGAATGGAAGTTTGCGAAGTAGGGTTACCAAAGTTGCGTCTTCTATTTTGGCCTGTGAATGATATTTTCCATCATTTGAATCATTGACTTACAAATAAATGGACGACGGGTCTAATACAAAAACCACGAAAAAAATGTCCCAAGTCAACCTATTCGAAATTTAAATTGTAATGTCATCGCAGTATCGCGCTGTCAGTAGAACAAATGAAGACTAAAGCGGAGTTTGACGCTCTGTATACGATTTTAGCGCCTTACAAGTGCAGACACTTTTTAGCGCGGACCCGACGTCCATATAATTGTAAGTCAATGATTTGAATGTAAAATTTTAATTACGATGATAATGATGACCCTGATGGTCGAGCGACTTACATACCAGTTTTCATGGTGTAGCCATCTCTGTGGTCCCGGGTTAGATCACCGACCGGGTCAATGTAGAAAAACTTTTCTATACTGTCTAGAATTGTAGTGTATCGATGCGCGATTGCGAATGATTATAGTATTCTACTCATTAGTAATTACTAACCCTGTCATCCGAGTGTCAAATTAGTAACCTACTTATTTTCGTATTCGAATGATTTCAATAACCATTCATTACTGTACTTCGTTTCAATCCATTAAAACAAAACGTAAACAAACAAGTCACTGACCCGACCGTAGACGATTTAGTGATGACCAATTGTAATGCCAACTACAAATCGATTAATTAATTGAATGAATCGATTTGTTCAATTGAGTCTTATTAGCGGTTTTTCCCTACATAACCTTTTAAAGCATAGTTAAAATTTCCTAAATCCTAATTTAAAATCCTCCTTCAAATACTTTACAAGAACTTTAATTGAATGAACCGAATGTTTTTTCTTACAGCACTATGCAACCAAGTCATAGATGTGTAGATGAAAAATAACCTCACTTTTGGACTACCATTTCTCAAACACAATTTTCCGATGCTATTCAAATTAATATTGTTGGTAAACGTGATGAGATATCAAGTCCAAATTTATTCGATTTATTGACTTACAATTATATGGACGTCGGGTCCGCGCTAAAAAGTGCCCGAACTTATAGGGTGTTAAAATCGTATACAGAGCGTCATTCACGCTTTAGTCTTCGTTTGTTCGACTGACAGCGAAGCAAGCAAAATTAGACAGTACTGCGATGACATTACAATTTAAATTCAACGTTTTAGCTTTTTCATATTCCTTGACATGTCACTACGTTTAAATAGGTTGACTTGGGACATTTTTTTCGTGGTTTTTGTATTAGACCCGTCGTCCATTTATTTGTAAGTCAATGAGTGATTGCTTTAGAATTTTAACCAAACAGTTTTGTTTACGTTTTATTCAAAACGGATTGGATTTTAATTAGTAGTACTAATCCATAGATTCCATAGAGCATGCCCAACCCTCTCTGACATATGGTAAATACCGTATTTGTTACGGGGACAGAGATATTTTGATATGGACATAATTCCGACAGAATAATCATTTGAATCGTGCGCCAGACCGAATGGCAAAGGCATTCGGTATCGGTAATTATTCTACTCGAGTCGAATGATTGTGCTTGGATTTGCTTAGGCGAATGATTTGCCCATTCGAATGTTTACTATGAGTAACATTCAAAATCGAGCATAGCGATTATAGCGACATCTCTTTAAAATCGTTTAAAGTCAAAGTCAAAGTCAAATTCAAAGATTATTTATTCCATAGGTAAAATAAATTTACACTTGAAAACGTCACAGTTAAGTAACTGCTCGTTCACTACGCTGACCTCCCTGAGAAGAACGAGCAAGAAACTCTAGGGATTGCTCTTTTCAAATAAACTTAAATGCTATGGAATACACTTTGAATCAAATTTGTGTGGATTCTGGAGCCATGTCATCTTTCCATACATCTTTATCTAACACGTAGTCTTCAATTTTGTAATATGATTTTTCGACCAAAATATTTTTAATGTAGTTTTTAAACTTAGGAATTGATAAACTTAATATATGCCCCGGAATCTTATTGTAAAAACGTATACAGTTCCCCATAAAAGAGTTGTTTAGTAAACTAATTTGTTTCTTCGTTTTATCGATTGGCAGACTATAGTGTAAACCTCTTTAGATTATGAGTTAAGTCTTCAAGTCCCTCTTCCCCCGATGACCCTCTTTACCCACCTAATCTTAAAGGTTTTCTTTCAACATTACAACGTAAGCTGGAATAACTAACCTAAAGTTACCTAACTGGGTGACGAAATACTTTCATAGATTTCACGTAGATGGCGCTACGGATAAAAATTCGTTGAATAACCAAATACAAAGATCCAACAACAAACACATAGAAAAATTCGTGGTCCGCTGGTTCGTTCCGTGGCTTAGTTGGTATAACGTCTGGCACGGTATGCTAGAAGACGTTGCTTCGAATAAGGTCAGATCGAAGGAATTTTTTGTGAGTGTTCGATCTTTACATTAATAATTATAACAAACTAGTGGACTGATTTCACAAAAAATAATTGAATATCAATTCAATACAAATTGAAATAAACTGGAATAACTAACCTTCTGATCGATCACCATGTGTCTGATAAGCCTGGCAGCGGCCTCGTTCCTCACGTAAGGGAGAACTTCCAAAAAGAGATTCCTAGCGGTCTCCAGCTCATAGCTCGTGCCGAAAACGTCTTTCAAAAGTTGTTTTAAAGAAGGATACTGGAGTTGGGACATTGTACTGGAAGATTAAACAAACACGTGACTAGATTGTAAATGAAAAGTGACAAGAATTAAAGGCACATAGGGTTTGTCAACTTATGTGTCAGGGTGATGGGCGCAGTGGCAGTAATAACAATAATAATAATAAACCATAGGAAATGAAACTATTTTTCCGGATTTAAATCGCGTATATTTGTTTTTTCAAACAAACCGACGTTTCGGGCCCTTTACAGGTCCCAAAGAAACATTCCAATTTACGCTACATTAAGTTTTTGTAAAATTAAAAATAAGGTATTTAATTAATAACTATTGTAACTATAGTGAAAAGAAATAGGGTGATTTGCATCAATATTAGACATAACTGTTTGAAGACTGTACCACCTCAGTCAACCGTGACCATGGCACCTGTAAATGGCCCGAAACGTCGGTTTCTTTGAATAAACAAATATACGCGATTTAAATCCGGAAAAATAGTTTCATTTCCTATGTGTAACAATCGCGAAACCCTAAGAACTCGATATAATAATAAACCATTTAGATAATTGTTAATAATAATTTATAATAATAGTAATAATAATTAATAATTAATTAATTAATAATAATAATTCAGGTAATTGCGATAAAGTTATGAGTGGCATTGCAACTACTATCGCACAATCGCACAACATAGCCCACAGGCAGCTACAGGAATGTCGCTATGTAATATACATATGTAATTTTAAATCCGGAAAAACATTTTAATTTGCAATTGATTTAATTCACCGTTTAAGGAACGATGAACGATTAAGGAATAGTCCATTGAACAAAAATCAACCTAAATGTTGATAGATCGTCTAGTTAACCATCGACCATGAACAGATGCGTTTCGTAACGGATAACACGTCGAAGACCCATCTCTAGTAGTTTCACTAGCACTCTTACCCTTCAAGTCCGGAACGCAGTAATGCTCACATTACTGAACGCAGTAATGCTCACATACTGCTTGGTGGCAGTACTTCCCTGGACTCTAACACAAAGAGCTCTACTTCTATTGAAAGTGTCAAGAGTCGTGAATTGATTACTTACGTTAATAGATATATGAAATCCAAGCTGTGAATAAATGAAGCATTTCGGACTATATTGTCAGCGTCTATACCCTTGGTCGCTATTTTGAGAAGCATCTGAAAATTAAAATGATATCGAGTTAGGTTTTTGTGATTGCTTAACATTGAAAAATGATTAAAGATGGCGTTTAAACAAATAGCACATAAAAAGTTTGCTTTTTAATATAAGCGCATAAGACCGCTTAGGCTGTATTCCACCAAAGATTGTTCGTGGTAGCTAGGCGGTGTGTACGAGAAAAAAAACGAAAAAGGGGTAAGTTTATTTTTATCATATTTTCTTGCTTTTTTTTTCGTTAATTTAATTTATTTTCCCTTATTATATGATGATATTAAATAAATAAATAACGCACACACTCAATACACCACCGCGCTAGGGAAACCCTGTGTCGCGGGTGGCATGGACAAACACATAGACAACTGCAAATTACACCCAAACTCTCGAGGGAAATAAATGTCGCCACACAAATATTTCTTCCGGCCCGCAAATCGAACCTAGGACCTCTGATCTGACATGGTAACCGTTGAGCTACAGAGGCAAATAATATACAATAATATTGAATCACAGTTTTCAAATTTTATAATTGTTTCATCTTAGGGACAAGGAAGTGGCTGAAAAATAGCGCTGTCTGCGACAACCACTGATCCAGACAGCACAAGCTGACATACTTTTTTTTTTTTTGGCGTACTGTTTATTGTTTTTTTTGTATTATTTGTGTCCAAAAAAGTGTAATTGTGGCAATATTTTTTTTTGTATTTGTAAGTATTTGTACATGTATGTACAATAATAAAAAAAAATATACCAACCTCAAAAGTTTTGTGGAATTACATTTATTTGCCAAATATTGAAAACGATTAACGAAAAATGATTGAAATCCAATAAATCTCATTTATCCCTAATTGACTACCCTTACTAGTGGAATATTTTCTTAAAATTATTTTTTGACGTCCTCCGTGCGTATCGTGCCAGACGCTATACCAACTAAGCCACGGAAGGAACCAGCGGACCTCACGAATTTTTCTATGTGCTTGTTGTCGTGTTTTTGTATTTGGTTTTTCAACGACTTTTTAGTCGTAGAGCCATCTATGAGAAATCTATTAAAGTTTTATCACCCAGTTAGATACCTTTACAGCTAACAGCCCCAGCTAAAAATGTCGCTTATTCATTTATTTCATTTTTTTATTGTATTGATATTCAATTATTTTTTGTGTGAAATGACTCTTATTTTTTTTTATAACGTCAAGTGGCGGGACGAACAAGTCGTGCACCTGATGGTAAACAACACACCTGTCCATAGCAGGTGCAGGGCCACTCAGAGCTTTAAATTGCAAAGATCTAAAGGGGCACTACCACTGCGGCCGTCACCCTGAGACTTAAGTAGACAAGTCCCAGTTACTCTTCAAAACCGGAGCTCAGTAATGCTGACATTAGTGCTTGGTGGCTGAAATAGGTAAGGTGGCAGTACCTCCCTGGACGAACTCTTTCTTACGCACAAAGAGCCGCATGAATGGAACGGAACGGCATTTAGAAGGAGACCGTATGTTCCAATCATATTACATTTTTATTATGAAAGTTACCTTCTAAAAACAAAACATATCTACAGCACAGGGAAGAGAATAACAACTAGGCTTACATGACAAGCCAAAGAAACAAACGTAGCTACATATATATACATATACATAAAAATTACACTCGTTGTGACATATGTACATATAATTTAGTAGCAGTAGCTCTCCTTGTGAAAGAGTTCGTCAAGGGAAGTACGGGTACTTTATTTTAACTGATAATGCTCACATTACTGCGTTCCGGACTTGAAGGGTAAACATGTTGGTGAAGCTACTGGCACATGGGACTTGTTTACTTTACGTCTCAAGGTGATTGTGGATTTGCCCCCACAGATCTCTGAATGGTACTGCAACTATTACGAATAGGCAAATACGTTTGCCTATAGCAGTTGCAGTGTCACTTAGAGGCTTAAATCACAAAGATCAAAGGGGCATTGTCACTGCACCCTGTGAAATAAGTTGATAAGTCCCATGTGCCTGTAATTTTGCCAGCACCGCTTATCATCAAAATCGGAACACAGTAATGCTGACATTACTACTTGGCGAAAAAAACAGGCAGTACTACCCTGGACAAACTCTTTCTTTTCTTTTACTACGCTACTAAAATGGGACTAATACTGAGGGAACCTCTTTCCAACAATGGTGCCAGTGCCGCCTGTTCTTTTTATTATGTTTAGGATTGGCGCCATCTACCCATATAAGGAATCGTTAATTTATACCTTTGTTCGGCGATTAACACATTGCACCGGGTAACGGGTGATTCATTTGGAGCTACTTTTAAATTTATCGGTACTTTTAAGAGGGGGCAGAGGAAAATTCGTAATCTTCGATTTAATTTTAGAGGGGTATATCCACTTTAAAGTTAAAAATAAAATATTGTATGAGTAACTACACGATATATTCAAGCATAGACACTAATCAGAAACATAAAACAATAAAGTTTCCTCGATAGATAAAAATCACGAAATGACCTCTAATTTTCACATTTTTTCGATTCGTCCTCGAAATGCTTACAGGTTATTAGGACAAAAATTAGATAATTAATTATATTTATGCATGATCGAGAACTGTCACTACGGATTTTTTTAAATCCCTTTAGTTTTAGAGTTATTCCGCTAAAACGAATTTGGTACTTTTAATGCGCAAAATTCAACATCTCCTGTCGCATGTCACGCGAACTTCAGGCATATATTTGTCACAAGTGTGGGCGGAGCTAACGTCAAAACTTTTTTGGCATACGCCCTCTTAAATAATTCTAAATTTATCGGGTTATCTTATTATCATATAAAAAAACCACTCCTGACATTTATTTTTAAAGATTATTTCATTCAAATATTGGCCGTAACTGCGGTTAACGTGGTCCATTCTGCAGTTCCAATTTTCGATGACGCGTCCGAGCATTTCGATTGGTATTTGGCGAATAACGCGAGTAATGTTGGCTTCCAATTGCTCAGTCGTACCCGGTTTATCCGTATAGATTTTGGAATTTACATAGCCCCAAAGTAATAAGTCTAGGGGTGTGATGTCACAAGATCTAGGAGTGTGAGTTGGTCGCTTAGATCTTGTGACATCACACCCCTACACTTATTCCTTTTGGGGCTATTGTGACTTTTTAAGAAAATGCTTATTCACTTAGATTTGAATTGCGTCAAAGGCGTGATTTTCAAAGCAAAATTTTAATGTTTGCTTGAATGTAACCATTTCCAAGTCAGATACACTAACTGGTAGTTTGTTGTACGTATTAATTTTCATATTTACGCCCAGTTTTAATGTTTTTACTAATTTGGTTTTATTTGTTACTAGTTTATGTTTACTTCTCGTGTTATATGTATGTATGTGTGATATCTTCGCCATATCATTTTTTTTTTGTTTCATGTATCTCTAATAATGATTTGTATGTATACAGTGAAATTACAGTCATTATTCTATATTTAACAAAGTACTCTCTAGCAAATACACATTTGAGAATACCTGCGATAATTCGTATTGCTCGCTTTTGCAAGAACATCAGTACAACGTTAAAAAACGCAGTTCCGCACTCTATCACGGGGCGGGGTGTAGTGTGATAATTGTCTTATTAACATTCTAGGCCATCTATTTACACGCATATTTGTTAAAGTTCAGAAAATATAAGGTAAATAATTATATTAACATGGTTATTTGTAAATTAAATTATGTATTACAACTCCTCGGTCACGAGCTTCAATTTTGCGTCCTCGGAGCCTGCGGCGAAACAAAGGCTGACTGTAGAGCTTTCAATCTTGCTGTATTTCCGCGTACCGGGAGTAAAATTGAGAACTCGGTGTAGTCTCGAAAATACCGGAAAAAAAATTCGAGAATATTTCGAAAGTTGTAACAAAACGTTACATGTTTATTTACTTTAAAACATAAACATTGTTTGTGAATATAAAATAAAGTATTTTTTATATTTACCTAAATCATAGATTTCCATCGACAACGGCGGTTTACAATATTGTCTTTGCCTCCATAGCCTATCAATACTGCAATGAACTAGCAAATTTAGGCATTTACGACACTCAAAATATTACATTTTAATCAAGTTCTATCTCAAATTATAAAATTCAACTTTATTTATGTCGCCATTGTTACAAATTAAGGCCGTGACCATGGGGACCTGTTTGCTTGAAAACTTGTAAACTTATTCCAAAGAATATATCACCGAGAGTGTGCGATGGAATTCCATAATTTGATTCCGCCATCCCCTTTGGGCGCTGAAGAGTCCTAGAGTAAGGCCCTCGAAAGCAATTGAAGGAATTTGATGCTACTCAGGAGGTGTTAAAAAAAACAGAATTATTTATGTAAACTCATTGACTTACAAATAAATGGACGACGGGTCTAATACAAAAATCACGAAAAAAATGTCTCAAGTCAACCTATTTAAACTTAGTGACATGTAAAGGAATATGAAAAAGCTAAAACGTTGAATTTAAATTGTAATGTCATCGCAGTACTGTCTAATTTTGCTTGCTTCGCTGTCAGTCGAACAAACGAAGACTAAAGCGTTAATGACGCTCTGTATACGATTTTAACGCCCTATAAGTTCGGACACTTTTTAGCGCGGACCCGACGTCCATATACTTGTAAGTCAATGTGTAAACTACACTACATATATGTAATATTTTTTCCTTGTGTTTTTTGTGTTAAGGTAATAATGTATAAAAAATACGTATTTTCAATATTTTTTGTGATGGTGGGCGTTGAATTTTTTTATCTTGCCTAAATGGGTGGCGAGCTAAAAAATTTGGGAACCTATGGACTAGAGGGTGAATTCCGTGCCTGCAGACTTATTCCTCGAACACTGTAACTTGGACCTTTTCAAGGCGAGAGTGAATAGATATTATTTAGGTGTGCATGCTACATCGTCGACCTCATCATCACTTTCCATCAGTTGAGATGGAGGTCAAATGCGCACATATTTTGTATTAAAAAAAGCACAAATATGCAATTATACACTTACACTCATATATAATATTA